TTCCGATTCTCATTACGCGCAACTTCGTTACGTCACGCGAGTGCCCTCCGTCACCCCTTCCTGTCAGGTTCGCGCCGTATCACGTTAGGTGCTTTCACGGCAATTGTCGGCGGGGGCCTGGACCCGTCCAAGGAGGGAAATCGATGCGGGTTATAAATGAGAGAGCGTGCGCGAGAGAGAGAGCGAGAGCGAGAGGGCTCGTCTCCCGCCGATCGCGCGGCGTATATATGTTTTGGCAGTGTCAGCACTGTAGTAACGTGACGAATTGTGTGCATCCATTGCGACACGTACTGCGGAGACAATCCCGGGGCGTCGCGGCGCCTGTCACACGCATGTCGCGCCGTCGTTACGTATAATTATTCACGGGGCCCACGTCTCCAAGATCTAGAACACGGCAGATTAGATTCTGTCTATCAATTTCGTCCGACGATGTAATCCGCGTGCACTGCTATCCCCGTGGGTTACTGCTTCGTCGCGTTCCCCAACAATATCCCTCCGCTCAGCCCGTCCCATAATTAATATCATTATTTGTCATCCGCTCAATGCGTTCCAATTTTGATCTATCATTTAGTTTCTAACGCGGGGTGGATCTAACTCGGCGCTAAGTCCGCTTTGCATTCCGCTCCGTTGAACGTACGTGATATGTTTCGATCGCCTCGTACTTGCGACGGCTAATGGTAATGCGACATTTGTATGCATCTTTTCCGTTACGACAATGTAGCATTGTGTGCGCCACGCACGCGCTATATTTGATTTTAATAGAAGATAATTGAGAAATTTTCTGTATTATTAAAAATGCCAGATATGGTATCAAGAAAACACTGAAGTTGTTAATTACTGCTGGCGACGTTGAAGAATGTTCTTGTTACTTGATTATACGCGATTGACCTCAAACATGGCGTTTCCACGTAATTGGGGAAAGGGGGCGGGGGGCAGGGATACTTAAAAAATCGCGTATCGACAGTTCTGTGCACTGTCGACAATCCGAATCGGAGCGCAGTTTAAAGTCGAAAAATAGACGCGAAGATATCATCTTTATACTGTTATTGCGACAAATATTACCACATGCCTCGGTGGTCGAATTGGTGAGACGCCCGCCTAGAGAGTAGGGAAGTCCATGTTCAAACTCTGGCTGAGGTAATATTTTTCGCAATAAATTTTCTGCATTACTAAAAATGCCAGATATGGTCAAGAAAACACTGAAGTCGATAATTGAGAAACTAAAGAATTACGCTTACCTTATGGTTGCTCCGCCGTTGCCCGTCGCCTTGCAGGTCTCCTCCTCCTCCTCTCAGAGCTCCTTGTGTTGCACTCACACAATATTCACTCGCGAAAATGATTAATTACGCGAAATTTCGCGTGGCACTCCCGTACGCGACGTGAAACACCGCGAAACGCACCAAGTATTAACATATGTCCTGTGTGACTTTCCGTCGCACAAATCATTCAAGCCGGCAACTCGCATGCCATTCTTCATCTCGAGTAGCAATAGATAAATTACTTTTAAACCGGCGATGTAAAACGCGAGGCGAGCATCGGAATCCAGACGTCCGTAGTAAAGAAGTATAGTTGTTAGTCAGCAACGAAAGCATATTTTACGAGTCTTGCTGTCAATCGATTTAATCTTTACGCGAGATGAATTACACGAGCGAAACATTCACTGCGATGAACAGCCGTTAATAATTGTAACAGTTAACTGCGATAATTTTCGATCGCATTTCCAGATGTAACGTAACGAACGCGCAGTAAGCGATTTTCTCGACTTCGCGCGCCTGTACGAGTTACAGGAGCAGTGAATTACATTAAAGCCGTCCACCATATAACAGATTTTTCTTTCTCTTCCCGAAATTGAAAGATTACATTGAAATCGACCGATAATTCAATGCGCGATGCGCCGACGAAGTGTAATCGCGACAAAGTATTATACTGCAGTCATATTTTCGATGAGTTGGTCTCGTGAAATATCTACGGCGCCTCAGCATGCAAATCATTTCTCATTACAAGTTTTAAAGACTTAATAATTTATCGATGAGCGAAATTATCGACTATTCCATTGCAGTAAATGTGAAAAAGAAGCGCGCACGCGGAAGTAGCATGCCTTTGTAAAAAGAATCTCAAATATTACTTGTTACCGATAGACGTGTACAAATTAATAGCGTTTTATCCCTACACTCGTCGCGATCGCGTCTCGGAAACTGATAAGGCAAAATTAATACGACGCACGGAGCGACTCTACGCTACCAGCCGGCTCGAGACTTGGCGAGCGACTGATCGCGCGGCGACCTTCACGTAAACAATGGCACGCAGAACACCGCGTGATCAGCGTGACGCGCGAGCAGAAAAACTATTTATGTTGAGAATTCGTTGTCCGCCCACGAAATTAAAATTCTATCCCTAATATTTCACATTACTTTGCCCAGTGACTGTTACTACACATTTTGCGGACTAATTAGCATTGCTTAAGATAACGATTGACTCTGTTCAATCGCGAGAAACGTTTTGGAAGTCGTTACTTTGATTTTAATTCCCGAGAGATTTTGCCTCAATTTAGTCCACGTGTACAAATGCATATTGTTTAATTGCAAATCTTAATTTATTGCGAGCGAATTATCTAATTCTTCGCTTTATTAAGCATATAAATTGGTCGACGTGTATTTAATACCTCATTTAAAAGGAACCGGATATAGAATTGCGTTATTTAGCTTTAATTTATATTTATTCGCGATTAAAAGGGGATTATTATATTTCTATATTATAGAGAACTGCGAAATTATCGACTATTTAATTGAAGTAAATGTAAAAAGAAAGCACACGGAAGTAGCATGGTTTTGCGAAAAAGAATCTCGAAAAATTACGATTCTTTGCCTTATAACAAGCACCGGGATAGCTTTTATTATTAAAGTAATGTCAAAATAGAAATCGGAAAGCGATACTTGCCTAGCTCTCGATAGCAAGATGCATCGTTACGCGTTAAATGGGGAGGTGGAGAAGGGTCACTCGATACGAGGTCAATCGCTTCCGAAGGGGATGCATCTCGGTTGGCTGCACGAGCACACGCAGACATATTCGCCGTACATTGTTACGTGCGATTATTCACGAAGACGCATTCAGAGCCGGGGGAGAACGGGCGGACCGGATCTCGTCCGTTGGGTCTGTCTGGCTCGTCCCGGATGGCGAACCGAGGGGCGAGATTACGACGCCATTCGCCTTTCTCCTCGCTGTCGCGCTGCTTACGCCGTCGGAAACACAGGGCTTCCCGCGAAGATGTCAACCACCCGGACGAATATCAGCGGCATGCTCCGAAAGCCACTTCCGCCGAAATGGGGCGCGCGTTCGAAAGTTGGCGCCGGGGTCCGCGCTCGTGTCCGGAAATCCTCGCGGTGTCATACTTTGGAAATACGGTCGCACGACTCGCCGGTGTCCGATACGTCGTAGAGATTTATCTGGACGAAATAAGTCCCGATACACAATGCCATATCTGTGCCAAGCTCTCCTCGCTTTTTACGCGCGCGTAGCTAGGCGGTGCACGACCCTACAAATCGATTCCCTTACTAAATAACTGAAGCAATTGTTTCACCTCTCATAATTTAATCGCTTCAGCTTTCGTCTTATTTGCGGAAGCTTTAACGAACGATTTTTCCGAAACTGCAACGAGAGATATTATGTTTAAGGTCGTGCAAAAAATTAATCCGGGGATAGGGCGATCTTATTTATTCGCGGCTGCATTCTTGCACGCTAAATCGACATTTTGGATAAAGGAAGGCCATCGCGGGCTCTTGACGGGTAATAATGACCTGTTCGTCAAACGCGCCTCCACTATTGAGCGCCGCTTATAAAAGACAATACCGGTATATATCACCGAGTATTCTCGCACGTATTCACGAGGCGAGGCGCATTGCGACACGTGCTCGTATTAAGATTGTCGTTCGCGCCGACCTAACGTCATTCCCTCCCCGGCCCCGGCCCCGGCTCGTATTCCGCAGGAATGACGGGCATGCATGTCGCTCGTTTCGCACACATGCACGCCGCACGCAGATGCGGCAGGTGCGCGACGGCTTACGTAGACGCCCGCGTTTATTACGTCGCGCTGCGAGGCGGCGGAATCTCTCTCTCTCCCTCTCTCTTTCTCTCTCTCTCTCTTCCCGCCCGCCGTGGAGTTTCGTTACCAGAGACACCCTGGGCCTCCGAAGCTCGAAGCGGGCTCGTAAAGAATCCGAGCGCACTCGTTCCGCCGTTCGTCTCGTCCGCCCGCGGTTACCGCAGATCGACGCGGAATTCCTCCTTGCGCGGAGGTTGTTCCGGGACGAGCGCGCGGCTCTCGCCCCGTGGAAACCGGATTGGCGAACGAATCCCGCCACCTCGTAGCTCCACGAACAGGCGACGAATTCGTGTTTCCCAATGCTGCTTTCGATCGGAGACGAGGGGCGGTGTACAGATTTGTAGCATTACTGGGCATTACTAGGCGGTACTAGATATCTTTTTGGGCATTCCCTAGGGAAAATTTACTTTAAATCGAATTAAAACTTTTAAAAGTAATCTTTCAAATCTACAAGTTAACTTAAGGAAGTTAAAAGTTTACTTAAGAAATTTTAGAGTAATTTTGGACACTAAAGTAAAGCCAACGGCACACGATACTATTTTTCCTACTGGATTGCTTACGAGAGTCTTACGGTATAAGGGTTAGTTTGGACATTAGACCTTGCTGGGGCATTATAAAGAAAAATAAGAAGAAACAAGATAAAATAAGATAATAAGATAAATGCCCACTGGGCATTAGTAGGCATTGATTACTGTACATGATTTTGGTCAGCGGTTTACCCCTCGGAGGTGTAATCGGGTACGGATAAGTGAAGCCGGCTATTATCCAAATGCGGGACGCGAACGGTCGATTGAACCGCGTTCGATTCTCGGTTACGATATATATTTCAATTTGTAACGTTAATTTTATTTCGGACGGTAAATTTGTCTCGCGTAACAGCAGCCGCTCGTTTTTCTTGCAGGTTTACGAGATGTACGTGACGGGTTATCAGTTCAAGGTGCTATCGCCGGTATTTACGGGCCACTGGGGACTGCAGACCAGGAAGACCAGGCCCGCTTGGCGCGAGCGTCAAAACAGTGCCAACAGGAAGCAATTCGAGACGTTCAAGAAGGAAGTGTTCGCGCGTTACATGCGAGATCCGTTGAAGATGATGAAGAACGCTAACTGACAAAAGGCTCATCGAGGGTCTCGTTGACTCGAGGCTCCTCCCGTTCACGTTCGTCCTTAGGCTCAACATCGAGGAAACCAGAGTAGAATTAGGCCTCTGACTACTGTCAGTGCTCACCACGTAACGTAGTTAATAGAGATGTTTCACAATGATCGAACAAGTCAACGAAGTATTCGCCCTCTGACGCGTTTCCTTTTTATCCTGTACATAGACATAGTAAATATAGACCGAACGTCCCACTGAATAACCTGAAGCTTGTGAACAGAGAAGATTTAAGATTTTCTTCCTCTGTCTCACCATCGTGACAAGGGAGAATCACGCCTGCGTAGTACTGCGCAGGCACGATTCTTTTCTTTTACGATGTAAGACAGAGAAAGAAAGTCTTCTTAAATCTCCTCTCCCTCTCTCTCTCTCTCTCTCTCTCTCTCTCTCTCTCTCTCTCTCTCTTCACAAGCTTCAGCTTATTCAATGGGACGCTCAGTGTATATTGGCTATGTCTATGATCCTGTATTATTATTTCATAACGTTGTAATGTGAAACTCATATCAACTCGTGTAATTCTCTCTCTCAACTTGAGTTAATTTTCACGCAAATCTAACGTGTGGAATCGCCTTTTTATTCATCGATATTCCATTCATGTGTTGCGTAAAGAGGTAATTTATACCGTTCGGACATTCTAAACGACTAACAGGAATATTCTTCAGGGTCGCCAGTAATAATTAACAACATTAAGATTAGTTGACCGTATCTGGCAATTTTTATGTTTAAACATCGCTACGTTTCGACCATGGGTTTTGGTCCCAGACCAATCATCATCCCAGACTCAATTTTACTTACGAGACCGAAATTAATAATTCCATCGATTTCTTGGACACTACTGTCCTGAGAAATGATGGACACTTAATAACAAACTGGTACAGAAAACCTACTTTCTCTGGAAGATACGTAAACCTCTTTTCGAACCACCCCTTGAAATATAAAGTTAACACAATCGCGAATCTCGTAGACAGGGCAATAATCCTTTCTGACAGTCGTTTTCACCAAGACAATATTCAAATAGTTAAAAATATTCCAACAAATAATTGCTTCCCTACACCTCTCATAGACAAACATATCAAATCTAGACTCAAACAAATCAAATTAATATAACAATAATGACCAGCCTAAGATTTTCGATCTTCGGTTACATATAAGATTTCCATACATTAAGGGCGTTAGTGAGGATGTCAACCACAAACTACGCAAAGTAGGTATCAACACGTTACTGACCGTACCGAAAAAACTCGATTGTATTATAAAAAACGAAAAAGATTCCTTGACCGATGATCAAAAGGTTGAAGTTGTCTACAAGATTGACTGCAAAAATTGTGACGCCTCTTATATAAGAGAGACCAAACGACATCTTAAAACTAGACTAAAAGAACATTCAAATGACATCAAGAAACCCGCGAACAACCACTCTGTGTTCAGTAAGCACTGTACATATCTTGGTCATGATTTCAATTGGTCGACTCTCCATATTCTACACGGGAGAGCAACACAAGAAGGAGAGATAGTAGAAATGGTTTTTATAAAAATGACTAATGACACTCTCATTTTGCAAAAAGACACTGAAAATCTCAACGCTATTTATGACCGCATAATTGACTTAACTTAAATTTGGACACCACTATTCATTTATTATTTTGACTTATTCTCTTGACTTTTACTTGCTTTTAATTATATCAACCGTGTTCTCGTATATCAAATACTGACAAATTTTCATAGCATGTCTTTATATTAATTACAATCCAAATTTCTGCACCTTTCTCTCTCTCTCTCTAACTCTTCAATTTTTAGTAGGTGATTATACATGACAATCCTTTCTACATCACCAAAAAATACACGCGAGTCTATGTATACGACCATCTCAGGTAATGTCTCTAACAATTGTAAATTTTTGTAACAGTGAACATAATTTTCTCTGATTTGTTTAATTTATTTATATATTGATTTTGTTAATCTCTAATTTATATAGTCAGATCGCTTGAAAAGGACCAAAACCCATGGTCGAAACGTAGCGGTGTTTAAACATAAAAATTGCCAGATACAGTCAACAAAATCTTAATGTTCTAAACGACGTTTACGCGGAATGGATAGGAATCTTTGACGAAGGATGGCCGATCTTATCTTGCGGAGCGGGAACAATATAGCGAAACCGTATTAAGCGCAACGATGGAGTGCTCCGGTATGCTCGAGAGAACAGATGCCAGATCGGGTAACCGCGCGATCGGCGGATTCGCGCTACTTATCGAACCTTCCGGTTCAGCGATTCCGCTAGGCGGAATCAGCCGCGAGAGCTCTTGTTACTTCCACTCACGATTTCCCAAAGTCATCAGAGACCCCGCCATGCGGGATCGCGAAATAAATATCTCGTCGTGAGTTTCGCGGCACGTACTCTCGCGCACGACGAGCGGGAAAACGAGGGCAGGGGATCTTAAGTGAGCGTACCTCGTTAGCTGTCTGGGGCTTAAGAGGGTGGCGTTTAAATCCAAAATCGATACTCCGCTTGACGCTAGTGGCGTAGCGCTCCGAGCGCGAAATAAACAAATGGCATAAACTGTCGGCGTGGCGTGTCGTCTCGGATTTGTATTGATTGAAACAAGAGAGACGCGAATGTAATTTATGTATGAGGTGCCTCAGGCCGCGGGTCCTTTAATCGATGAGTTCTTTGACTAATGTCCAAGTTAATTTCTTCTCCCAATAGCAAATGGCACCAATAATCTTTCAATTGTAGGAATTTTACACTTTAGAACACTTGATGAATTAAACATTAGAACGCAAATAGACAATAAAACATTTCAGAGGGTATACTTTGGCCGAATTTTAATTTAAGGCACCATTAGACTGAGTACTTTGACGCGTTAAGGGCTGGTTTCACAAACATCAGTTAGCTGCTAACCGAAGGTTAATTGATTCTCTGTCTCTTCTTAAATAGTAAGATGGAGAGGGAGTCGACTGAACTCTAGTCAACAACTAGTTAACCGATGTTTGTGAAATCGGTCCTAAGTCGACTTTAAGTAATTTGTGGCTAACGGGGGATACAAAGAATTTGAGATGCTACCGTATACACGTATAATCAAGTGGAGGGATAGCAAATACGAGTGAATGGAAAGTAATAGCTTTGCATCATCGAAACATCGCGTCCTATGAAGGCTCGACGACACTCGTGCGACATCCCGAGGCGTAATGCACGCGTTCCATTTAGCAATATAATCAAGTCGCTTCGCAGGATGTGCGCTATGTCTTTACGTTAATATCGCCGACGTTTGCTTTACGTTACGAACTTACAGAATTAATTATGTTGGACGAGATGTCACGAGATTTGCAGGCACGTATGCGCGGATGTGGTCTCCATTTGCTCGCGCGTTGTGTAAGCTCAACAGCGACAACGATTGCTCAATATATATCACCGTTGATAATGTTTTATCCTATTGATCCTTTGATAACATGCTCTCATTCGCTCTTTTAACTGACATGGTGCGATTTCTCAGATTTTTGTAGGTTCCTTTATTCCAGCAAAGTTACATGACACTTAATTTCACCGTTTATATTTAAGAAAGTTTACAACAAGAAACATATGAAGAGGATTATATATAATTTATATACGTGTGAAATATATATATATATATTTATAAGATTTTGTAAACTTCATTCTAGCTTTCACGAGATAAAAATGCCGATGTCAGTCAAAAGTTGAAATGTCAACGTTTAATTTAAGGCACAGAGTCATCTTTATATTGTAATGTTTTTACTGATAAATGTATAAAATATATAGTGTATAGGTGGTGTTGTGAAATGATAAAATATAAGAGAATTATCAAACACTATACCATTATCTTTCTGGTCCTCACGATAAATTCGCTGAGAAGCGTAATACGTTACAAAATCCTCTTAAACTGATTGAAAGATAATTAAAGTGAGCTGACGAAATTCCGGGAAATCTAAGTATATAAAACAGTTGATTGATGTTGCGAGCAAAGTAAGCGCCGAATAAATTTTCTTTTCCATTTCATTATATTCTGTCATGCATTTCTCTTAATTATTTGTAACATATTTTCTCTCTGTTATAAAAAAAAACCGGGTGGTAAGTAACGAAAGAAGTAATTTCCATTTACATTAACGTCTTCTGGGCTATGAGGCTTAAAGTGAAACTGCGTTGCGAGATGACGAAATCTCGTTTTTCACACATCGGCGTGTAATGTCTCTCTGAGGACAATAGCGCCGCTCACGTATTATGTGGTGTTGTTCCATAAGATAACACTTGACTCCCCCATTCATCCCCTAATCCCGAGAGCTACGCAAATAATCCGATTAAGTATGGCGCTATTGCGCTTTGCGAGCTAGAACGCGTCAGTTTTTTTTTCCACGGTTATCTGGAACAATCCCGTGAACGTTCGGCAGTTAACTCGAATCGCGGATACAATGGCCGACAATAAAAAGTATCTATATATAGTGAAACTCCACCGAGTGTGCCGGATGAAAATGCTAACGATCGGACGGTTTCAGGGCACATTCCGACGCGGCTGCATGGCGCCAGGTTGCGGCGCGTAGGTACGTTTTATCGTGTTACCGCGGTTGCATCGCGTGTCATAGGTGTCGGCTTCGAGTGCATCAGACTTTCGAGTTTACCGTGAAGAGATATCGAGAACACGTACGTTGAATACGTAGGAAACTATAAAAATGCGCGGATCTCTTCGGGGATAGACTCTTCGGCGAATCTGGGGAGTCGATTTTTCCGTGATAAAAATATCGAGAGCAGCTATTATTGATCACGATTCTTGAAAACTTTTAATATCGGAGAAAAGACGAGACAGACGGAGGACTTGAAAAATTTATACATATACTTTGAATCTTATATTTATTATTTATCACCTTCTATCCGGTGACGACTTCCATTGACTCTGGTGTCTTTCTCTTCTATTATTTTAATTATTAATAGCAATTTTGAAAAAAAGGAAAATTCATCACATATGCTTCGAATCTTATATTTATTATTTATCACCTTCTATCCAGTGACGGCTCTCATTACCCCTGTCTTTCTCTTATATTATTTCAATTATTAATATCAATTTTGAAAAATTAAACTTCACTACATATACTTTGAATCTTATATTTATTATTTATCACCTTCTATCCGGTGACGGCTCTCATTACCTCTGGTGTCTTTTTCTTCTTTTATTTTAATTATTAATATCAATTTTGAAAAATTAAAATTCACCGCGAGTCAAAGTTTCATTCCCTCAAAGAGTTCTTGCTCATAGCTTTCGCTTGAAAGATTATTAAT